AAAAGTTGTACTCAAAGCAAATAATAATAAAATAATGAAATAAAGTATGTTACACTCTCAATCCTTATAAAAGAAAAAAAATTAAAAATCATATTCAGATTATTATTTTAAAAAATGTGCAATTTTCGTAACAAAAACTTTTTAAATTCCTGAAACTTTCTAATTTCCTGAATATTTCTGATTTCTGGTTATAGCTTTACTTTTTTGAGGCGTATTTTGGTTATTTTGGTTACATTCTGCCGGCATTTATATGATTTGTAAATTCCCATTATTCGTTAACACGCAAATTCAAAACTTTATATATATGCACAGCCTTTAAACCTCGAATCCAAATTTTGTATAGGTAAGCATTAGGTTCTAAAAAACAAAGTTATGAAGCAAAATTTAGATTTAAATTGAAAGAATGATCAGTTTATTCAATTTTGTTCGATTAATTTAAGCAAAAATTTGCTTATTTAAAAAGAAACAGAAAAAAATATTGGTTTCCAATAAATGATGAAAAAAAAACCTCACAACCTTGTAAAGACTAAAAGACTATGTGTAAGAATTGTTTAGTGGTAAAATTTTCCAGCTAAGAAAAAAATAAGCAACTCATGCATTTAAAAAAGTGAAGCACAATTTTATATAAAAAAAATATTACGTGGTTCATCAATTAATAATCATTTAAAAAATCATCGATTATTTAAAAAATAAGGAATCCACCTATAATTTTGATTTACATAGTATACCGCATACCCCAATAAGACATGCCCATAAAAAATATAAATTTACCACAACAAAAAACCTAAAATAACAGTACAAATATAAAATACTATAAAAGACGACGGATTCATTGCAGATGCTATTGCCGCTCCCGTTGTTACAACACCCACACCCACTTCTACCATTCCCACCGTCGCAGCGGGCACTGCAATATGAAGCAATGCATTTACAGCTGCTTTATCTAGACGTTTTTTTGAAAACTTTGGCTTTCCTTTCATATAATAAATTCCTGAAGAAAGTATTTGATATGGGACATTGACGATTGGAACGAATCCAACAACATTTTCTATTTGTTCCTCCAAAACATCGGATGAATTTAAAACTTCTGTGCTAATGCCCTTATAATTTAAGGATTTGAAGTTATTTTGCAAATGGGACAAGCTTTGTACCCTTTTTTCTCTTTCTTCTTCATCCATATTATCATAAGGAAAATCGACCCCAATAACTGGATAATTTCCAAATTTTCCTTTTATTGCTTTCAAGTTTTTATCATTAATCCATTTTTGATCACAGTGGGTGATTATAATAATAATATTTTTCTTTCCATCCTTAAATGTATCCTCAAATTCTTTGAATTTTTCGCAATCATTTTCATTAATTCTACCTTTCTTGTGGACATAGCATATGTAATTTAATGAAATGTCTAGTTGTGAGAAATATTCCCTGATTCTTCGGATGGTCACATTAGTTCTCGGAGATCCTTCATCAACTCCCATCATATCGAATACTCCAAATTTTCCATTATTTACATAACTAATTTGATTAGTTACTCCTTCTACAGTATCATCAATTTTGAATGTATTTTCATTTTTAATGTCACCATTATATAGCATATTAGCTACAGTGGATTTACCACTCCCAGTGAGACCAAACAAAACTACATTTACGAGCTTACTCATAATTTCCATAATTTATAAAACTAAATTTTAGTTGTATAATTAGGAGCGCAACAATAGATTATAGAGATTATAGATGTGATTTAATTTTTTTTTTTTAGGAGTATACGTACGTACGTACGTACGTACGCAAGGATGACCATAGGAAATACGTAAAAAACGAAAATTTAAGAAAAACGGTGCTTAGATCTACGTACCTTGTAACCTATATTGTTGGTCTATCGAACTGAAAATGGAATAAATTGGGTATTTTGGATCGTCGATCCTTGGCGAATCGGTTCTAAAATCTTTGCATATTACAGCTGTTTTCATAAATTCTGGGACAACTGATAAAAATTATTTCGGCCGAATTCGATAAGTTTTTGAATTCG